ACCTTGATGTTACCGTAATCGGCACACGTTAAGATTCGTCTGGACGAGCTGTATGTAACTCTGCTTTCCCTTTTAAAAATTTCAATTTTGAGAGAAGTCGCAATGCGACACTTGCGACGGACTTTTTTTGCCCGTTTTTTACAGATGAGCGGTATTGTAGCTTAAGAGATTGCTAGCGTTTTGTGTCTATAAAAAGGCCAAATTATTAAAATCGCAAGGAAATTTTAAAAAGAAATCTTTAGAAAAGTCATCTTACAAGAAAGTCTATAAGCCGAAAAGGGCTTGTAAAATAAGATGTGGATAAATAAAAAGGGCTTTAAACGCTGTTTGCAAATCTAGTTTTGTTATCTACGGAGTTTCTAAGACCTGAGGTAGACGTTTTCCATCCGTAGAACTGGTATGCCTGCCTTATGAGGAAGTCGCTAAACTAATTCTTAATACACTTCGTTAGCAAAGACTATGTTTTGCATATGACTGGAGAGTCGTCGAAAGAATGATGAAAAGCCATTAAATTTGGATGGCTTACCAGTGCGCGAAGTGCTTCGAAGGCAAAAACTGAATTTGAAAGACAATCTTTGGCAGAACTACAGAACAAGGCATCTTCTGCTTGAATAGAACAATTATGGGCTTATTCGCTAATTTTCGGCAACATTGGAAAGGTAGCACTAATTCTTGCTTGCTTTTGAATGTCACCAATTAGCGAATGAGCTCGTAACCTTTATTCATACAATAAATTCAAACACAACAGCAATGATTTTGTTTTGTAGAGCAACGCCTCCAAGATAATAGTGGGTAGGTATTTTGAAAAAGAGCAGGAAAATATGCGTCGGAATTACGAAAAAATGAATAGCGTGCCGCGTGAATAACTTTTGCCTTATTGAAACACTTCATAGAATATCGTTACAGCACGTGAATGCATCTCCTGTACGGTGGCTTTCTGTTACTGTAGCTATCGCTTTCTAATGGACTAAAAAATGGGTGGAACCAGTGGAGGAGTAAAAGAATATAACAAAGTTCTTTGAAAAACAATTCTGATTTCGCTTGCTCAAAATGCTGCTTGACTTTTCTTATAGATAATGTTACCTTTACAAATGCACCAAATCCCACATGACTCTATCTATTGTACACAAGACCATGAACTCTCCATTTTCTACTTCACAAATGTTTGAAAAAGAAATATTTACTTAGTATTAAATAAATTAAGGTGATGACATCTAAGCTTGTTGAAGTTTAGCCTTGATGGCAGCTCGACGAAGATTCTTCTG